TCCATCTTGCTTTATGCCTTGATTGACCTTTTGTTGTTAAAACTCAGATGGAGGACTGCAGAACGCCCGGCGAGGTGGTGCTGTCACCTCACCAGAAATCGGGAAACACAAATGAACACTGCAATGGAAATACTGCTACATACCTTTCAGACTGGAAAAAATTTAATAAAAGACTGATGCCAGATACTGAACACTGCTGAGCAGGGGGGCACCAGGCACTCCCCTATGTGGCCAGCAGGAGCGTGAGTCGGTTCAACCAACCTGGGAAACAATCTTGAGTTCTCTGCTAAGGCTGAACCTGTCTGTCCCCTGTGAGTCAGCAGCCTACTCGAAGATACGCCACCTGTGTGCGTCCTGCACCTGGAATGAGTGCAAGGGTGCTGATAGCAGCTTTATCTGTGATTATCAAAAACTGTCAACAGCCTGAGTGTTCACCGACTGCGCGGTGAGCGAGTCTGCAGGGGGGGATCCATACCACGCAGTGTCACAGGATAAAACGCGCAAGCGGCAGGGGTACAGAGGACAGGTGACTCTCACGATAGCAAAACGGACACCGTGATTCCAAAAAGCAAACGGTTTTGTTGCGAGATGTACACATAGGTCAGTCTTAGGTGGCAAAAAAAAAAAAAAGAAAGAGAGAGAAAAGAAGAAAAAGGCAAGAACAGGCTGGACACAGGGTGCAGGAAGCGGTGTCCTCTAGGGGCTGGGCGTGAGGGCGGGGCCCCCGGCGATGCTGTCCGTGGTGTAGCTCTTGACTCCAGCGGCATTTGCTTCAGAGCCATCCAGTAAGTGGCACACATGTGTGGGGCAGGCCCCGCTGGGCTTCCAGCATCAGACCCCCTCCCCATGTCCTCTGCGGGAGCTCCCCTCTGAAGCACCAGGTAATAGTATCTCATGCACATTTCCTGAGTTTGTCAGATGCTTAAAACCACCAACAAAGGGACGAAATGAACCACCTGATGATCCAGAGCACGTGGCCCCCAGACCGTCTGGTGCCTGGGGGTTGACAGTGCTGACCCCCTGTTCCCTCAACATCAACCAGTCAGAGATTGTGCACGAGCTGATCAGGTGCCCTGCACACACCCCCCACCCCTTTATCCGGCCTTTAAATATGCTTTGCTGCCACCCTTCCAGGAGTTCGGGGTTTTCTTGGGCATGTGCCACCCCGTCCTCTTTGCTCAGCCCTGCAGTAAACCTTTCTCTGCTCCAAACTCATGTTTCAGTTTGTTTGGCCTCGTGGTGCAGCAGGTGGGCACGTGAACTTGCCTTTGGTAGCACACAGAGGGTAATGCACTCTTTCGTGCGTTTAATATTTCATAATTAAAACAGCCTTAAAAGAGAGCTTGTGCAGGGCGGAAAGGGAAGGTCTTGCTTTCGGACGGGGATTTCTGCAAAAGCACGTGCTTCCATGAGTCCTGAGAGAGCAGGTCCCAGAGGAGCCTCTCCCAGAGCCCCAGCCAGGCAGCCTGGGCCAGCTCCCGGGAGGCCAGCGGCGACAGCTCCCCAGTGAGCACACTCGAAGGACTGGCAGGCGCAGGGACAGGCGGCGGTCACGCAGCCTGAACAGCCCCCGAGGCAGCTGGCAGGAAGCAAGGGCAGAGAAGGGAAACCCACAGGCCCGGCATCTGTGGGTGACAAAGACCAGAGGCTCGGTGACACTAACGGCCAGCAACCGTGAGACGCCTGCTGGCTGCAGGCAGATCCTGGGCTGGGCTATTTTTAGTCCAACCTACGGAAAACGCTGGTTTGGAAGCTGAAGTCGCTCCTCCTCCTGTTCCTCAGAAGCCCCCCTCGTCCCTGGGACACCCACTAGGTTTGTCACATGGATGCCCAGCGAGGCACGAGCAAAGGCTAGCCCTCCAGCTTCTCCGGGCCAGCCGTCTTCAGCACGTTCCCAGAAGCACTAGAGTATTTTCCCGGCGAGTCTCTGGCAAGAAGCGATTTGTGTGTTGCTGCTACAGAGCGTGGGGCTTCAGCGCCCTGAGCTGTGAAGCGTCCTCACCGCCTTCAGACTGTCTCGAGGCCACTGCAGAGCAGGCAGGAGCGCCAGCTCCCCTCCGGGGTGGACGTCTCGGGCTCTGCGATGAGCAGGTCCTGCCCTCACTGGCGCGAGGCGCTGGGCAAAGCCGAGGCGGGGAGGGTGTTCGTTCTGCCAGGCAGGGCCTGGAGGCCTGAGCCCCTCCCCCACCCTCCTGTGCTCTCCTGGATCAGAGATGCCCAGACACTGACGGGGAGGTGAGGACCCGGGGGGTGGTGGCACCCTTCAGGTGACCCTCACCAGCCGAAGTCTGGGGACACTGCACTGTGTCTGCTGCAGACGGAACGGAGCGGCTGGGCACGTCCCAGCCCATCAGGCATTCTCATTGTCTGGTGCGTCTTCCAGTTCACAGCCGAGGAGCACGGCTGGTGGAGGGGAAGGCGGGCGTCTGTGTGGCTACGGCCGGGAGGGGCTGTACGGAGAGACGGGGAGGGGCTCCCTTCCAGGGCTGATGCTGTATCGGGCGGGCAGACACTGCCGCTGGGTCCCCGACAGCGA